CAAACCACCACGACCCACCATTTGGTGTGATAGCAAGTTCCAGAACCCCTGCTGTGCATAAATCCTGAGATAAGAGGTCTTCCCAGGGGGGCTTAACAGCGATCAGGGACCGACCCAAGGTGCGGGGGAACAACAGAAGAGACACTTGGGGGGCCGTTAATCAACCAAGGAGGAAGAAGATAAACTTTAACACCACATACGTTGTTTTAAGTGTGCAAACAAATGTTCAGGAAAGAGACTGAGATCAATAGTACTCATAGCAAAGCGCAGTCCCTCAATAGCTGCAACACAGATACTTGAGATAACAGTTCCTCTTTTGATGTTGACATGTCCTCTGGAGGGGTCCTAAAAGTGGTGCGGGTGAGGGGGTACCAAAGGTGATTGTAATCACAGTAAGCAGGAAATACCTTCAACAGCATTCTACATTGTTTCATTCAAATCCAGCTAACAGAGAGGAATCATATCTTAACACAACCCACAATCTTGCCGCTGTAAACTGTAAATTTCCCCAGTGTAGGACAAATAAAAGTAGTCCAGTAATGTGTTGCTACGTCAGATACATGCGCGTTGAGCGTCACTCAAAGCTCTCATTCAAAGTAAACATAGCGTGCACAGACTACGCATTTCAAACGATCAGTTTCGGTTTTTTTTTTTAAAACTTGCCAGCAAGACCCACAAATGCACACACGCCTCTCGTGACAATGCTGATGAATATAACTGCCGAATTGTAATGCTGTTTGCAGACATGCACGTCGAGCTTCAAAGTAAACATAGCGTGCACAGACTACGCATTTCAAACGATCAGTTTCGGGTTTTTTTGTGAAAAAACTTGCCAGCAGGACCTACAAATGCCCGTCGTTGCAATAATGATCAAAAAGCCCTGCCGAAATGGAAAGCTTGGAAAGCTCACTGCGACGGAATGCAATCATTAGTTAGTATGTAGCGCCCCCTTGTGGTTTTATAGGTATAATCACTCTCAACACACATTTTTGCCATGCACACGTTAGTTGAGACGCACCTGAGGCAATCGACGTGAAAATTGCGGAAAATGCACGTTTACACATCAGGTTTACAATAGGTCAAATGATATGAATTATAATGGAAGTCTATGGGACAATTTTGGTAAAATCTGTACAGATACGTATGGCGACACCAGGGGGCAGTGTTGGACATACTCAGCAATGACGTAAGAAGGTGCCGTTTTCAGCTTGAGCACATTTTCCACACTCCGGAGGAATGTTTCGCACCCAAGTTTTTTTTTAGGTTGTGTTTTTTGATGTTTTCTTATTGATTTTCGAATAAAATGCAAAATATCAACAATTTCTGTACATTATGGAACCACAAGGGTATGACCGTATGCTTGTTGAAAGTAAGTTTGGAATAATGTTCTCACGCATGGCACTGTGTTAGTTCAAACTCAAGTATACTCATATTCAGTAAGTAGTCTAAAAGTAAATAGAGGTGCGTGTGCACATACTTGCGACGACACGACCACGTGATCAGTGTGTTCAGTTCACGGTAATTAGGCTGCAACGATGCTCCAGCCGGCCACTGTCATCCACACAAAGGGGTTCGATGTCGAGAGTGGTGTTGTTTTTAAACGTTATGTGGCGTCACAGGGACGTACCTGTTTAAATTGGTTACTTTCTCTCTTCAGTATTCACGAATGTAAATTGGGTGCATCCATTCATGACATTCGGACTGGCAACGGAGCAACAAGCTCCATGGAGCACGTTAACTCCAAATGAAACAAACACGACGCACTGTTGTTACTCACCCTCTGCTCCTCCAAAAGTGAAAGGATGTCCTCCGACACTCCTCGGCCACGCAAAAAGTTGCTGGGTGACGACATGATGTCCTTTATTCCAAGCCACGCCACACGCTGACGGTCCCCCCACAATTCATAGCTCCACGAACGTCACAAAGTCAGAATTCTGAGATTAAAGTGAGAATTTTGCCAACCTTGTTTTTTTTTCTTCATTGGCCATAATCCTCTTCCGTACGTTCTTCCCCGCTGTTTCAGCCAAGTGTATGGACCTTCTTCGCTCTCAGTTGCGAGAGGCCCATTGGGACGTGCAGGACAGAAGTCCATCATTGCCCTCTCCTGGTCTCCTGTAACATCTCCTGCAACATCCTTGAAGAATGCCACACGATTTGTGATGACAATCGACAAATCAGCATGAACACAAAATGGCCGCTCTGGGAAGATAATTTTGTCACATTTGGTGGAGTTTTTTGATTTGAGAATACAAAAAACGTGAGAATTCGTTCACAACGGTCGTTTTTCACCACTGTTTATACCTTGTTTTTGGATCTTGTTCACTCTCAATTGCGAAAAGGGCTCCATTGGGACGTCAACGGCAAAAGTCGATTACTGGCCTTTTGTGGTCACAGTTTTTCATTGCACCCTTTTGAAAAAGATGACCATATTATTTATTACCCTCGAAAAATCATCAGGAACACAAAATGGCCACCCTGTGAAGATAATTTTGTGACATTTGATGGATTTTTAAAAATTTCTGAATCCCAGAAACATTGCTATTTATTGACAAGGGTCGCTCTTCACTGCTGTTGCCACCTAGTTTGGATCTTTTTCGCTCTCAATTGCGAGAAGAGCCACGGTGGGACGCGCACAATAAAGTCCGTCACTGCCCTCTTTTGGTCATAGATTGTCATTACAACCTTTTAAAATACCATCTTCCTTTATTTCTTACCCTGAAAAGTCGATCATTGCCGTCTGTTGGTCACAGTTTGTCATTGCAAACCTCTTTAAGATTATCATATTGCCAGTAGTTCTTATTTCCCTCGAAAAATCAGCAGTAACACATGAAGGCCGCCCTGTGAAGATCATTTTGTGACATTTGATGTTTTTTTTCTTTCCCTGATCACAAACAACGTTCCAATGAATTCGCAATGGTCGTTCTTCACCTCTGTTTGAACCTTGTGTATGGCTCTTCTTCGCTCTCAAACGCGAGTGCCCTCTTTGGCCGTGCACAGCAAGAGCCGAAAGCTTCCCTCTGCTCGTCAGTTAGTCACTGCCACCCTCTGAAAGAGTACCATATTATTTCTTATTAACCCTATGTATGTACCCCGGTCAAGGACGACACCTCGAACTGACGTCAATCAATCAACAACAATCAATAAGAGAGGGCTCAGTCCTTTTAGCAATTATAGTCCTTGTTTGTGTATGGCTTGTTTATTACAGCCCTCCAATATGGCCGCCGGTAGTGCATTGTGGGTAATTGCTAAAAGGACGGAGCCCTCTTATAGGTTCACTTCCAGACAGCTGCGCATTGCCGAGGCAACGTTTGACAGACAACGGGGAGGTTTTTCAGGCCTTGCCTGTAAATCCCGGCACTTTGGGCCTGTTTTTGCTTCACGCAGCGACAGCGGGTCTAAGCAGTCCGCACCCGTTAATTTCCGGACATTGCGAGTGTGCAGGGCGTGTTTTTTTTCAGCTCTTACTTTTAATCCACGCCTTTATGCGCCCTAAAAACTATCAAAAACGGCATGGGGAGCGGATCGGTTCACTTCCAGTAGAGCTATCCACTACAAAACTACGAACGTCTCAATATACACTTTTAATCCGAGCCTCTCTAGGCCCTACAAAAAATCCAAAACGACAAGGGGAGCGGATCGGTTCACTTCCAGATAGCTGCGCGTTGCCGAGGCAACGCTTGACAGACAACGGGAGCGACACGTGATGTTTTTCAGGCCTTGCCTGCAAATCCCGGCACTCCGAGGCTATTTTTGCTTCGCGCAGCGACAGCGGGCCCAAGCCGGCGGCACCCTTTAATTTCCAGACATTGCAGAGTGTGCACGGTGATTTTTTTCAGCTCTTACTTTTAATCTGCGCCTCTCTGGGCCCTACAAAAAATCCAAAACGGCAAGGGAAGCGGATGGTTCACTTCCAGACAGCTACGCGTTGCCGAGGCAACGTTTGACAGACAACCCGGAGGTTTTTCAGGCCTTGCCTGCAAATCGCGATACACTTTGGGCCTTTTTTTGCTTCGCGCAGTGACAGCGGGCCCAAGCCGGCGGCACCCTTTAATTTCCAGACATTGCAGAGTGTGCACGGTGATTTTTTTCAGCTCTTACTTTTAATCCGCGCCTCTCTGGGCCCTACAAAAAATTTCAAAATGGCAAGGGGAGCGGATCGGTTCACTTCCAGACAGCTGCGCGTTGCCGAGGCAACGTTTGACAGACAACGGGAGCGACACGGGAGGTTTTTCAAACCTTGTATGCAAATCCCGGCAGTTTGGGCCTTTTTTTGCTTTCCGCAGCGACAGCGGGACCAAGCCGGGGCGGTAACCGGTAATTTCCGGATATCGCTAGTGTTCGGAGCGATTTTTTTCAGTTCTTACTTTTAATCCGCGCCTCTCTGGGCCCTACAAAAAATCCAAAACGGCAAGGGGGGCGGATCGGTTCACTTCCAGACAGCTGCGCGTTGCCGAGGCAACGTTTGACAGACAACGGAGAGGTTTTTCAGGCCTTGCCTGCAAATCCCGGCACTTTGGGCCTTTTTTTGCTTCGCGCAGACAGCGGGATCAAGCAGGGCGGAACCCGTTAATTTCTGGACATCGCGAGTGTGCGCAGTGATTTTTTTCAGCTCCTACTTTTAATCCACGCCTTTCTGCGCCCTAAAAACTATCAAAAACGGCAAGGGGAGCGGATCGGTTCACTTCCAGACAGCTGCGCGTTGCCGAGGCAACGTTTGACAGACAACGGGAGCGACACAGCGAGGTTTTTCAGGCCTTGCTTGCAAATCCCGGCACTCCGAGACTATTTTTGCTTCGCGCAGCGACAGCGGGTCCAAACCGGCGGCACCGGTTAATTTCCGGACATCGCGAGTGTGCGTGGTTATTTGTTTCAGCTCTTACTTTTAACCGTGCCTCGCGTTGCCGAGGCAACGTTTTACAGACAACGGGAGCGGCATGGCAAGATTTTTCAGGCCTTCCTTGCAAATCCCGGCACTCCGGACCTTTTTTTGCTTCGTGTAGTGACAGCGGGTCCAAGCCAGCGGCAACCGCAAGGGTGCAAGGTGATTTTTTTTCAGCTCTTGCTTTTAATCTGGGCCACTCTTGGCCCTACAAAAAATGCAACACGACAAGGGACCGGATCGGTTCACTTCCCAGAGATGAAAGTCCTCCGGATTTTCCCGGATTCCGGGTTTTTCAAATTTTTATGAAAATTTCTCCGGAGAATTGAGGAAAATTTGCATAAAATTAATCTGGATATTAGTTGACAACACTGAACGAAGATGCGTTTGAGTTCGTTGTATTGCTTTCACGAGCGTAGCCATATTGAGGCAC